GGCACTGAAAAATCTTCTAGTGGCATTGAGATTAACCAATGGAATTGATTGCTTCACTTCTTCAACATATCCAGTTGGTAAAAAAAAAAACCTTTAGAAAAAGTGTAGTTGAAAACTTTTGAATTATTTTAGAAATATCTATCTCAAAATTAAGAATGGCAAGTATCATAAAAGAAAACACTTGCAACAAGTAATAACACAACATTAGCTCACAATATTAGATAAAGAAGTAGCATCCACAGTGCATAGATTAAAATATATCAATACTTTGTATGAGATCATATTCCACATGTACATTTCCAGCTAAATATTGTGAAGGATGAAAATTGATTTTCTTGTAGGTTGCTAGTAAATGATTGAAGCAAAGCAAGCGCCATCCTACAAAAATTTGTCCTTTGAGCTGTGCAAAAAGTCAAAAAGTGTCCATTAAAGTGTAAAGCAAACAACCTCCAAAAGCTAAAAGTCAAAAGTTGTCATGTACAATGCTAAATTGCAAATTAGTGAAGTGCAAAGCAAGCTGTCCTCAAAAGCCAAAAATAGTCTAGTGTGTATTTTACTACCCTGTATGAAGAAGAAATTATGTTATTAATTAGGTTTGTAACACGTATAAAATGTGAAGAGGTTGAAATGCATAGAGATTGGTTTTGTTCATTAGAATCAAATTGTATATGACATTTTTGAAATAAATAAAGTTGTATTTTTATGTATATTGTGCACATATATTTTTTATTTATTACCTTGTGAGTAGTTTGTCATGAGATCTATGGCATCAAGTGATGAAATTTTACTACCTTGTGCCTACATTTGCAAATGTTAGTGATTGTGACATGAAAACAAGATTACAATATATAATAACACTTAGTAGAAATTAATGTATTGATTTATACCATTAACAAAGTTGTAAATGACAATGATTGTAATGTAGAGGGTGGAAAAATATGTTTGTTAGAGGAATTGTGCATGAAAAGGTTAAATCTTGTATTTATGCAGGTGGTGTTGGAGCCTCTAAGTTTGAAACTGTTGAAACTTGAGTTTGTGTAACTTTCATTTGATCAACTTTTCTTCTTCTTTTTGTTTTTTTTTTTTGATGATGAAGCCTTTTCTTTTTCCTCAAACTTCTTTTCAAATAGTGAAGCCTCTTGAGAGTCCTAAAAAAAAAAAAATACAAGATGAGTTATAGCTTCTTTTTATTTTATATATAAATTAAAATTCAATACTTTTAATGTAACTCTTCTTCTTTTTTTTTTAATTCTTCTTGATTTTCCATCTCTTTTTTTCAACCCCTTTGGCATATTTTGTGACTTTATGACTAGTGTAGAATTATCATCTCATCACTACAAGGAATCTTATTTTCTAACTCAATGACACATCTATGCACATAAGTAAATCCCTCAAGTGTCATGGCTGCCTTTAATGCCAGTCTTCCCATCATAAGTATTAGTTGTCTATACCTATGTGTAATGTCAAGTCTAGGATCTACTTGAATCTCATTTCCTCTAATATCATGGACAATACCAGACCTTGCTTCTTTGGTCCAGCGCTTTAGAATATATTGTGTAGGCATAACTCTTACATCCTTTGACTCGTATACTTTTAATGCATGACAACATAATATCCCTGTAGTCTCAAATTTTTGACAAGTGCAAGAAGTTTCATGTATGTCAAGTTTGAACTCAACTCTCCATTCCCCTTCCTCATCAATCATATAGGCAGTATATATAAACAATGAATTTTTATTATCACAAGTAGATAACTCCACAGAGAATTGGAGATCCCATTATTCTTGGAACATCTCAAAGATAGTGGGGGTATACACTTGCACGAGTTGGCGTAGGATAGGTGCACTTTGATTGACCATCCTAGGAATCTTTTATTGAGATTCATACTCAAGTTCCACTTCCTCGTATCGCTTCTTTGCTACAACCTTGTCAAATCTTTTAAAGAATCGATTGATGTCCAATTTTGGCCTTGTACATCACTTCGCATCAGCATTCACACTTTCACTAACCTATGTGCTCCTTATACCTAATGTATGAGCATCCTTCACATAACACCAAGCCCATTTCTTCTTAACATCATAAGTAGAGTTCAACCACCCATTTTCTTGGATATTATAAGAAGATAATAATTGGATCCATTCTTCTTTAAACTTGTCTATATCAACATAATTAAACATGCATTTCTTGAAATCAGTCAAAAATCGTGACCCTTCTTTCATCAAGTTCCCGAGGTGTTTAACACCATTTTTCAATAAATGCCAACTACATAAACAATGTTTTGTATTAAGAAGAACTTCACGCAATGCTCTTGCTATAGCCTGATTTTGATCTATAAATACAACTTGAGGCTTATTTTGTATGTGAGCATCCAAAAATGTTTCTAGTAACCACTTGAAAGACTCAATAGTCTCATCATACAATAGCACTGCTCCAAAAATGACCACACTTCTGTGATGATTAAACCCAGAAAAGAGTGCAAGAGGTCGATGATTTTGATTAGTATTGTATGTTGTATCCAATGATACAACCTCAACAAAATGTTCATAATCTATTAGCAGACGACCATCAGCCCAAAAAACATTAATGATGTGTTAGTCTGAGTCCAACTGATATTTGTGGTAGAATGCTAGATTTTCTGCAATTTGTTTTTGAAAATATTGAAGTAGACATCCTACCTCCCCAAACTTCATACATCTATTCTTTTTGGACTCTAAGTAGTTATTTGCATCGTTCATCGTGTATCCAAGATTTTCTTGTCCACCAGCATATGTACTCATTAAATCAAAAGTAGCCCTTGGTTCAATTCAAGCCCAGATTCTTCTGCAAGATCTATCTCATATGCCTGAGCTTCTGATAAATTTCTCTGGGATGGTAACAGGAAAACTATGTCTTCTATATGAAGAGGGTGACTACGCTCTTTATCAAACACAATAATTTTGAACTTTTGCCCAACAAGAGATACTGCCATTCTTGCCTTACATTTGGTCCTTGTTTCTGGCCTATATACAGAAGAATATATTCTTTTTTCATTTTTTCTCCGAACACCTTCCTTGCAACATAAATATCTATATGTGATAATAATTGACTTATCTTTTCTACTCTTTGTAGAAGTATCCTTTCTAACTCCAAATCCATTCATTTTACTATATTCTCTCCAAAACTCCCATGCCTCATCTAAACTTTCAAATTCTCTCCCTATTTTGAGTTCTGATTCATCCTCCACTTGCATAGTCCCTGCACAGAGCAAAAGTATTTATATATATATATATATTATACAAGTTTTTCAAAAAAAAAAAGGGATGTAACAGAACACGCACATATCATTGTTATTATATATATATATATATATATATAATAGAACACGCACATATTTAGAGACTTGATAACATAAAATTTTAATTTTGTTCCTCAATCATTTCCTTCTTTTGTCTTATTTTGTTATATTACACACACACACACACACACATATATTTCATCCAATATCACATTTGGTATTTATCTATTTAGTTTTGTTAATTTCTTAAGCTATCTCTACTTTTAGTTAAAAAAAGAAGGACAAGAAGAATAGTCATAGAGAGCTTGAGCATTCTAAAAGACAAAAAACAAAAGAAGAAGAATCAACTATGTGATAAAGCCTACCAGAAAATGGCCAGAATGAAGACGCAAGGTCCCTCCCTCCATTTGAGTTACACTGTTACAGAATGCTTTGCATAAACCTGGAGCTCAATGAAAGATTAAAAAAGAGGTGCCAAAACAATACATTCCTCCCTCCCTCCTATTGATTTTATAAAATGAGGTTGAAGTCATTGAACAAAGTTGAGGAGCTCAACATCCTTATTTTATTAAAAGTTTAGTGAAATAAAAATAATTAATGGCTAAGATTAAAACTTTGTAGACAGCCCATATTTTTTCTCTTTAATGAAACGGTGCGAATGGGCGATGAGCACCTTCATGCTCGGCATATGCTGAGCACCGAAAATGATCCCCTCGGTTTCTTTTATTTCCTACCAAGTTGTTCCTTGCCCATACTTTCTGACAGTCTTAGCTACGTGACTCGTAGCTGGACCGTTAAATGGAGTTTCATTCTTCGTCTTGCCATCGTCTCTGAGCTTTAGGTTGGCTAGAACATCAAATTGAGATATGTTTAGTTGGTTAGATCCTTGATTTGGGTGATTTTACTTGTTACTCGTTGGATTCTTCGAGTTTTGTGCTCAAGCTAGTCTTCGAAACTTCATCCATTCTTTGCAGATTTCTTCTAATGAGTAAGATTTCGATGACCCTTCGTGAGCCTTCTCTTGTTGATTTATCTACTGTCTGGCTATATTTCCTTGTGAATGGTCCGGGACGCTGTTGTTAACTTCAACCTTGTTCTTCTTCTTTTTTGTAACTCTGATTTTTGGGTTATATAGGCAAGAGTTTTTATTGTGACCATAGCAACTACACCCGAAGCAAATAAGATTTAAGCTTTCATATTCAACATTGTAAAGTTCATCTCTAATAAAGATCCTTGGAACGAGTTTCTTTTGGAGGTCAATTTCCACACTAATTCGAACAAATTTTCCCCTCTCTGTTTTACAAGTCTCATTTTGAATGTCTGCTTCAGAGAGTGTATTTACATCTACCTTCAGTGTTTTACCCATACAATTTCCTATTCTCCATAAGATTTTTTTATCATAGCATTGAATAGGAATATTGTTTAATCTCACCAAAGGTGCTATCTTACTAAATAAATTTGTATTCGGGTTGAAATTTGGTGTCTAGCGCTGAACCATGATATAGTGATTGAAAATTCACCATGAGCCTCCATTAAGGATATTCTGGTATGCTTCTTGATTTTTGGTTTTGATTATATATAATAACCATTAACCAAATCAATGAGTTCGAAGTCTCTGATCTGCCACATTTTCGCTAATCTTGATTTAAGAGATTTCGGATTTAATTGAATACCCAAAGTTTTAATGACTAAAGCAACCACCCATAGTGTATATATTTTCTTCTATTCTTCATTAGAGATCTAAACACTGGGATATTGATCCATTAGTTTTTTGGTATAATCAGAAGGAGACCATTTTTGCTCCGGTTCCTTAATTAGAGAATCATTAATGTGTTCAGTGTTATTTCCTTCACTAATCCCCTAACAACTATTGTAGCTTACAAGGAATCTTTATAAGAAATAGGAGCTTTTAATGCCCTGTAAAAGTTTTTCCTTGCCTGGATTTTCTACTCTGTTGCGAACATTTTCAGATTGTATTTCCATAGGTTGAGTTCCATGTTGTTCGCTTTTTGATCTTTTATCTATTATTTGGATGCAGGTGGATCCATGATAGCATCTTGAGATTTTGAGGCAGAGAAAATGAAGTCAGACTTAGAGTTCATCACGTTTTTTCGCTCTGTGAAATTGGTAAATTGTGCAGGTTTTAAATGATGGAAATCAATGCTTTATTTAAAGACCAAACTAACCTTCGGCGAACTCCATCGTGTCATGTTAGTACAATCCGGTAAGCTTTCGTGTAAGTGCAATCCAGTATACCCATCGCCGTCGCCGACGTGAGACATACCCAAGTGCGTTCGACTCCCTCCCAATTTTCGAATACCTGCTCTTCTTCCTTGAAACCCTCCACTTCTTCCTCGACGCAAATACGACAGAGGCAATAGGAAGGGTTGTTTCAGTCTCGTGGACGGTGGTGGTTTCCGGCGCAGCGCTGCAGTGCTTTCCGGCGTGGTTACACAGCTGAATCGAGTGATGCAAGGTTTCCGGCCATGATGCATAATTGGCATTGAAGGTCTCGACTCCTTCTTTGCACTGAGCTATCTATCACTACAAATCTAGGGAAACGGGGGGGAAAAAACATTGGGAACAAGTAAGAAAAGAATGACAGATAACAAAATGAATATGTACCAAATTGTTCACATCCCAGACAAGGAGCCATATCCCCTTCACCAGCAACCCACTGGTCAGTTTATTAAAACTCATTAATTCAAACTCTTCTTTTCTTTTACATGGACTCAATGGATATTCAAAAAATAGTGCTTTGTTTATAGCTTTGTATTTCTATCTGTTCAGAGAATGTCATTGCTTCAGTCATTGATCCAAAGCATGCCAACCAAATTATAAGGTTAGTTCCTCAACCTTTATTTGTAATTTCCATTGTTTTATATGTAATATGTTGTTGGTTTAAAAAGATTTTGAGCTCGTTGCTGTTGAAACTTCTAACTTTTCTCTTCCTTTCTATTTTAAACTGATTTTCAAGGCACAAAAAATAAAGTAACTCTGAGTCCACCAGTCATTTCTACTTTATGATTTCTAATACTGGCTAAAGTCTTGTTTTCATCTTTTTTATTTTCTTTGGTCACTGTATTTATATGAAGGCAACCCAATATTTGCTTATATTTGCATTATGGGCTCAATGTATTGTGAGCTGATCAAGTTATTTAAATTTGTTGTTAGGATTTTGAATCGAATACAACCACTGGAAAATCTCCGTCATGTGAAACGAGTTCAAAAGAAAATTCTTGAAGCAGGTTTGATGGTTTGTCATGTGTGCAATATTATGGCATGTTATATTTGTTACATCGTTTAACATTCATCCCATATGGATCATTAAATTAGGAAAGTTATAAAAGCAAGAGATGTACCATCTTATATTTTCATTTTTTATGCGAGAAAAATTGATTTCGTGTCATTTTTTATTTTAACCTTTTAAGGTGAGTAAATAGTAATTATATTCATCTTTCTGAACTTGAAAGTCAAAACCAATGAACATATCAAGTTCCTTAAACTTCTTATTGAACTAAGCGTTACATTACATGCCATGTCTAAGGGACTGGGTGAAGGCTGACTGTTAAATTGAATTAATGGAGCATTTTCAAACTCTTTCCTTTTCAATGGTTGGCTGAACATTAAGGAACCCTAAGACTCCTTATCTCCATTGTTCTGGTTCTGTATATATGGGTATAATTTTCTTTGTAAGGATTATTATATAAGACAAATATCTTTAGACATAAAACAGACATGCTTCTTGGCCAAGGAAGCAAAAACTTCAGTTTGCTGCCAATTTCAATCACCATGTCCACTGATGAAATGCATAAATTAAGCTCACACTATAAACAGTTACAACGAGTAACAACAGAGAAAGAAAATAGTTTTGGTGAGGAATATATGCTATGAAATAGATGGGTATGTAAACAACCTATAGTCATTGACAAAATCATATTATCTGACTTTATAGATGATACAAGGAAAGAACACAAATGAATGTAGAAGAAAGCATGGTTTTAAAAGCATAAAGCTATTTTGTACATCACTTGCACTTATGGTCAAAAGACCTAGTCACTCAGTTTGACGGTAGATATTTTTGCTTCAACACCTGTATTAATGTACATGGCTTTCATTCTTTATCATTATGACTTGTGGTCAAAAGATATAGTAATTTTTTGGTGACAATGAAAAATATTTGACAGGACAAATAGAGTTATCTGTGATCTTGTGTCTGGCATCTGAAGGTGACAGCCAATTGGATAGTATGCCACCGCATCTGCAGGAGTTGATTAGGTCCTATCAATTGAGTCCTTTTATCACAAAAGTGGGTCTTCCTTATTTTGTCTCTGTTTTTTTTTTTGGTTTGTGGTGCTTTATTCTGATTATTTTAAATGTGCAAGATGAAAATATATTATGAAAGTTGAAATATTGATTTTTAAATTTTTTATGTCTAGTTTTTAAAACCAAAAGAAAAAAGGATTATATATAATTTGACTTATGAATTTATCATTGTACTGTACTGATTGAAACTGCTAAGCTGGCATAACAAATATGGTATATTTTTTCTTGTTAACTAATTTTATTTGTTTCTAAAGAAGAAAGATAACAGTTTAAATAATTTGTATACTTTGTATTGGGGGGAAAAAGCAAACCATTAGCACTATAAAGCAATTGGTTTTACATGAAAGCGAACTTTTCCTTTTATCAAATGTTTATCAGATTTTAATCTGAGCAAAGCAATGAAGCTATGTTTGTTAAATGTGTAACCCATATTTGTTTAGAGTGAGGGAGGGGGAGGATAAACTGTCTGCTCTTTCAAATGTTAAATGTGGTGTTCTGATGGTTACTTGAAGTGAAGTAAGGTGCTTTCATTTCTTCATGTCTAAGCGTAGGGTGGAATATTTTTTGCCTTTCTTTTTCACTTATCCTTTAATGGTTTTGGGATATATTAGGATGCACTTTTTTTGGGGCTGAAATCTGATGAACTCTAATTGTGTGGAATCTTGGTTCCCTTACCATTTCAAAATTCTAGTAGAGTTCTTTGATGTGAAAGTGTGGTTTCATTTTCTGTGAAAGAGACAATCAGTTCTAAAATTAATTGCCATTCTCTGAAACTAGCGGAGACTGCTTGGGCCCAAGTAGAATAACAACATATTTTCATGAAGTTCTATGTTTTTTTTCTATCTTTATTAGGTCTTACTAGTAACCTGCATACTCAAGCACTTCTAAATGCAACCTACTATTTCTATCTTGAAGATGGATCTTTTCAGTCATGCAAATGAGCATACCTACACTAATATATATGGCTTTGGGAGGTTTTTGTGTCATGGTGAGTCCCATTCTCAAAGTGTAAAATAATAGTGGCGTGGGTCAGAAAATTTTGAACTGCCCATGATCTCATTAGTTTGAAAATAAAAAGTAAAAATGAAAAGGGGACTAACTTGTACAACAACAAGAAGAAGTCTTATCCTACTAGGTAAAGTCAGATACATTGATTGTACTGACTGAAATCTGTATTAACTTGTAGATACTGGGATGTGCTGTGATTTTATGATCTTCATTGCATGTTACTGCTCCAATGCTGGTGATTCATGGATTGAATTGAATCTGACTATTTTTAGGTTTGTAAATATGCTGCAACGTCAAAAGAAGAGTGGCAAGAGCAATGCAAGTTTTGGCCAACATCATATCATCCAAGGACCTAGTAAGCTTTCTATCGTGTTCTAGATATATTGTCTCTGATTGAAGCATTGTTTCTCCCATTAGAATAATAGCTGACTTTGGTTCTGGTTTTGGCTTTGCTTTCATACTCAAACTACAGTAACATTGATGGCATTACCGGATTCAGTGAGGGTGACTCGCAGTTAGTTTTCAAGTTCATGCAATCAGCTGTTGAGTTGGCGACATCTGAGGCTGGGTTGGTATGTAAACAAAAGTTTCCCTTTGAATGAAACTAATTGTAGATCAGTATATGCTTTTTGGAACCGTGTCAATTGTCCAACTAAAGTGAGGACTTGTCTTGTTTATCTGTAAAAGCTAATGGAGCAATGATCTTATTGATTGTGCTTGCTAAGCTGCTTGTGTAATTTGCTAAGCAGGTTGTCAATGCTGCAGTGATTGTGGATCCTTCAGCTAAACAGGTGATTTCAAGTGCTTGTGATGAGGTTTATATTCCCAACACTTGCAAAGACAGTTGTAGCACTGACTCTTGCTGCTTGAAAAAACCAGAATTGTTTAGTTTCCATCCCATTGCCAATAAAGTAGGACCCAATGACCCGTCGAATTTAAACAATCCATCCAATCAACCCAAACCACCTCATACAGGTGTGGCTTGTTTATACCCTTGGCAGTGGGCTGAGCAGCAATCACTTAGGCCAAGTTTATACAAGTGGCACCCCTTACGGCATGCTGCTATTGTAGCTATAGAATCTTCTGCCGTGAGGGATCGATGCCTTTTTCGTTCTGTGAGTGACATTGATGAAAAATGTTTGGTATTGGATCATGAAAAGACTTGCTGGATTGCCTCTCCTCCAAAGAGACAGAGAACTATTCCTGATAATGTAAGTTTTTCCTGTAAGTTCTGATAATGGAACTGGGTTTAATGGATACTTTTTTGGGAAAATGACATTTAAGGATTCTCTAAGACCATTATTTAAACGTTATTTAAGAACATTCCAAAAGAAGACCATATTCCTTGAATTAAAATTTTGTGGGTAACAATTCCTGAGTTAATTTTTTCAGTACTGTTCTTTCCCAGTTTTAGTACTCAATTTTTCAATAATCATCTTAGATGTTTTCAATACTCATCTTTTATGTTTTCAATACGGAAAAACACTTATATTTAATTCTTCTTGTTATTAAAACCATGGAAGTTGAACATTGAAAACATATGAAGTAATTACTGAAAAAACTGAGTAATGAAAATTCCTAAAAATGACTATTGAAAATGTGAAAGATGAGTATTGAAAATATATGGAAGATGAGAACTGAAGAAACTCAATCGAAGAATTTTAATCCTAACTAAGGAGTAAGGACCATGATCCCCACCCCCCGAAATTTCATAATTTTAAGGTCCTTAACTATAATTAATCTCCTTAGAAGGTCCTAAAATGTCATTTTTCCTACTTTTTTTTTTAAATCGTCTGGATGCTGTAGTCCCACTCTTTATAAAGCATGTATTTCTTGCTGGCTGTGGTATCAAGGTCATTTAATTCTATTGTTTGATAATTTGTGACTAAAATAACATGAAGTACAGAAACAAAATATGTGGGTGCAACATCATTCATCTGATATCTCTTTGTTCAAAATAGAGCATGAGAAGATTAATTTGTGGAAGTTTTTATACCATCATTGGCTTATGGTGTTTCAGGTCGAGGATGATGAAAAATTAAATGCTCTTAGCCAGAGTTCTGATCAGGTGTCAGCGCGACCTTACTTATGCACTGGTTATGACATCTTTCTTGTTTGGGAACCTTGCACAATGTAAGATTGTATACAAGACACTTATCTGATTTCGATGCATTCTTATCTCTAAAGATCCTCTAGAGTATTTTGCCTGTTTAGTATACAGAATCAAATGGAATTGAAAATGAAATGAATGGAAAAAAAATTGATTTTGTAAATAGATAATGTCCTTTATGCCCTTTTATTCAAGTGAAAAAAAAATATCCTTCTTGTTGAGCAATGATAATAAAGACTACAATAAATTTTGTAGATCTCTGATTTTTATGCAATAACTTCTTCCATTGTACTCACTCCATCCCATTTTGTGATTCTTCAATGATAAATATTCCAATATTACCCCTCATTATTCAATTCTATAAATAAATTTCCTTCATTCTCTCTCTTATTAATGAAGGGTATTTTTAGAAGTTTATAAAAAAATTAAGATTATAATTTGTATTTAATGAACTTCATTAGTATGTATAATTTTGTCAAAAAATGTTTTATAAATTGGAATGAAAGGAGTACATTTCTCTAACACATTATTGCCGTCCACATTGATGTCAGGTGTGCTATGGCATTGGTCCATCAGAGAATCAGGAGGATATTTTATGCTTTTCCAAACCCTAATGCTGGGGCCTTGGGCAGTGTTCACAGATTACAGGGAGAGAAAAGCTTGAATCATCATTATGCTGTCTTCAGAGTTCTGTTGCCTGAGGAAGTCCTCCGTAAACATAATGCTCAAGTTTCAGAAACCGTTGCAGCCAGTACTGCTTAAGCACCAGATGTGAGTTCTTAGGCTTAGGAGGATGATGATGAATGATTATAACTTGGGAGAGGATTAACGAGAGAATGTTGAATGTTGTTAACTTATGTAGAATTATTCTGAATTGTTATGTTAGTAACATAAATTGGGAGAGTTATTATCAATTCAATCATTGATTTGTAATGTTGTTTTGTTGAGGTACAGGTTCAATGTATTTCAATAGAATAATAATTAGTAAGAAGTTCTACTATAAAATATTGTGGCCTCTGAGGGTAATTGTCGGAAAGTAATTTTTTTAATGACTGACCTTAGTGCTTCATGCCTAAAAAAGCAAAAGACAAGAAAAGTAGTGCTCATATATAAATGGCCCTAATATATGTTTTGCATGTCTATTGGACACATTATTACAAATAAAGTTCAAATAAATCTGAGATTTCACTGTTGGAATTTAAACCTAAAGTAAAATTTTGTAAAGGCAAAATGCTAAACATGATAATAAAAGTTGTGTTTCAAGTTGTGGTAATTGGTTGGGGTTAGTTATGTTGAGTTTAAAAATAGCAAACAAAGAAAAATGTAAAGCAAAATGACTGAAAGAACCTTTTTAACAAGTAAGGTAAATATTCTAACAAGTAACTTTATCATTTAACAGGCACGGTAATTGAATTAATAAATTATCAAGAATATTTTAACAATTAACTACAAAGAATTACAAGTTACATTACACATTTAACAAGTATGGTAATTAAGTTAATAAATTATCAAGTAAGGTTAAGAAATTAACATGTAAAGTAAAGATTTTAAGTTTTTAACAAATAACGATAGGAAATTAACATGTAAAGTAAAGAAGGTTATTTCAGTCATTTTGCTTGACATTTTAATTTCAGTTTAGGCCCAAATTCTTGATGTGAAATTTCATATTTATTTGGGCCTCATTTTTAATAATGTCACATCCTTGGTCTTTTAATGAAATTGTCCTCATTTTCAGTTATGAGAAAGTCACTTACAAAAAATGAGAAGTGAAGATGGAAGGGGAAAAAATCGTAGAATTTATAAAGAATAGAAGGGAGAGAAAAAAGCTTTCCCTTCTTATATTTGGATAAATCAATATATCTTATATAACAAAATAACTCAAGCCAATGCCTTTCACGGCCTTCTCATGGCTTCTCTCACAAATTACTGTTCAAAGGAACTGTGTCAACTTTTGCCATAGTACTAGCTCATGTATAGGGTTCCATGCAAAGATCTCTCTTCTCCACATGACTAGCATTTGAAGTTGGATATCTTGAAGCATACGCTTCTCACTTCACCCCCCTATGGTGATATGATGATCTTTGTTCTTAGAAAGGATAGTAAAATTTTAGGTCCATCAAGTTTGCTTCAATTATAAATTTAATTCCTCAAGTTTGATTTTTATCAATTTAGTTCATTTTGTTCTTTTAAATTATCATGTTAATCCTTTCAAAACACAACTAGCCCTCAAATTAGTCAAATGTACACAATATATATATATATATATATATATGACTTCATATGTATGTGAAGATAAATAAGAACAAATTAACTCTCAAATTAGTTTAATTTTTATCAATCTAGTTTCTTATGCTACTATTTGTTATTTTGTTCTTTTATAACTTGCATCTGTCTGTTTTTTCTATATAATGAATTATACTTCTTTTTATTAATCTACATAAGGATACACATCCTGTGCAATGGTGTGTGTAACATCCCAAGTTTTTAATTCAAAAGTTAATTACTAATTTAAGGGTAACTTATTAAATTAGTGGATTAATTAATTTAAGCATATTTTTGAATTGTAAATTGACATTTTGGGGCATTAGACCACTGCATAATCAGGCTAGGAGGAAATTTAGAGTAGATTTGGTCAAGTGGGAGAGCTAAAGTGAGAAGTATCTCACTGTACCACATATCACAGTATGGCGCAATGCATTACAGTGTATGGTATCAAAATTTGACTTTTTAAAAAGGGGTCAACTTGTGAGATTTGAGGGAGAAAAGGGAAAAACAAGACCAAGAAGAGAAAAGGAGTTTAGCTTTTCTAGGGCATAAGATCACAGGCAATTGGAGGTAAATTTTGACCCATCATCTACCAAATAAGCTTTATATCTCATTTTTCTCATGTTCTATCATATTTTCTCTTGGTTTGAGATATGAAAAAATTAGATTTTGACATAGTAAGGGGTTTTTGTTGGGCCCAAAGATTGTTAAAGGTTTGTTGGAAGTTAATTAAGAAATTGTAACTAGATTTGTGGGTTTTTATTGAATAATGGGACTTTGGCTAAATTATGGCTTTAAAGAGGAGGGTTCAAAGTGGTGAAACTCTATATTGATAGCAATGGGTTAGTAGAAGTTGTAGGAAGTGACAGAAGGTAGTTTGGACATAAAATTGTCTAAAGAAAGGGATGAGGAGTTTATGTTAGTCTAATTATACTAATAAGTACTTGTGTTCAATTTAGAATTGACATATAGTGATTAATTATGTAGATTTCGATCACTTGGAACCTCTCTGAGGTTGAAGTAAGTTGAAGCATTAGGAGTGACCACAGGTAACCCTTTTAGTAATAAATGAGTTGAGGTAATTGGATAATTTATATTATTTGTTAGTTTGTTTAACTATTTACAAGTAAATTGTGAAATGAAATATTTGGATATTTACTTTTAGAAATAACTTAAAAACAATTAAACAAGTCAATAAATAGTATGAATTATCCAGTTACCACAACTTTTCTATTATTAAAAGAGTTACCCGTGGGTACTTTTAACACTTCAACTTACTTCAACCTCAAAGAGGTCCCAAATAATTGAAATCTATAAAATTAAGCACTATATGTCAATTTCAAATTAAAAACAAGTACTTAACAATACATTAAACTAACTTAAACTGTTAATCTCTATCATTAGGCAACTTTAAGTCTTAATCACCTTCCATAAACTTCTTACAATTTCTACTAATTCCATTACAATTAATATAGGTTTTTCACATTGTAAAACCTCTCAATTGAAACTAAAATTTAACCAAAGCCTCTAAACTCAACTATCGACCACCCAACTACTCACAACTCCTCAAATTAACTTTCAATAACCTTTTTATGACTATCGAGCTAGAAAATAATCCCTCACTAACTCAAAATTAAATTCCTCTGTATCTCAAAGCAAGAGAAATTGGGTAGAATAAGAGAGTAAGAAGGTACTAAGTTTACCCGATATACGGTGGGTCGAAAACAACTCTTAGGTGCCCAAAATTTCTTGCCCTAATAGAGAAAGCTTCCCTCACTCTCTTCTCTCATGTTTTTCTCCATTTTCCTCTCTACACTTGACTTGATTCATGACCTATTTAATTAACTTTTTGTATCATATGTCGTGATGCATAGTGCCATGTTGCAGTGCATAGTGCAATGAGTAAAAACCCACTTTAGCTCTCCCTCTTCAATCTTGATTTTCCCCAACTTTCACAAAATCCTAATCTTGAAGTTAACTAACAATGAAAATGTTAATTTACAATCAAAATCACAATCGATTTAATTAATTCACTAATTTTTTTAATTTATCTTTAATTAGTAATTAGTTTTCAGATTAAACATTCAAGATGTTATGACTAGCACCATAGGGTATCTGGTGCAGCAAACATATTATGGACTGTGTTACCTTGGGACATTTGAGCAGTCATAATATGATTATGTGCTCCTTAGTAGCTAAAAGGATGTGGTATTGGAGTAGTAACACCCCAAATATGTGTGTAATATAAGGAATCCATAATTCAAGAGTGGGATAGAACACTTTTGGCTAGACAGTTCTAACATAAAAGGTGAGTTCAAATCAATTTATTCAAGGTTGATCCAGTATTATAGTCTACAAATTTAGTTGAAGGTAGATGTGGAGGTTTAGATGTATAATATGATCATGCATGTGATATTTCCTTTATTGTAATATAACATGTAGTTATAATCCTACTTTACATACTTGTTTATGGTTTTATTTGCTAATAGATAGTTGTAAATTATTTTGGTTATTAAGATTACATCTCACCCCGTGGTTATTATTTTACAAATTCATATACAAATAGGAGTTTAGAGAAAAGATTTGGGCTAAGAGTAGCAAGGCTACTATTGTATGGCCCTGGCATTGTAATTTGTGTAATGAATTTGTATAAATGTTTATGTTTATAAGTTGCTTAGTAGGAATGCGTACATTTTGGTTGCATTTATATGAGATGGTGTGTTGAGTATCTTAGCTTTGGAATATGTGTTTGTGATGAATATGGTAAGAGAGTTGAGATACTAGTACAAGTTCACATTGAAATGAATATTTTGATCTGTATTATGGAATTTGGCCAAAGGTGTTGTCTTTATGCAAATATGCAATATGGCCTTATTTTGTAAGAAATTAGAACGTTGGAGTGGCCAAATTTGATCTAATATGAATGATTATTGATATAATTGTTTGATTAGATGTGTATTGGTCCATTTGATGTGGGTGAGGCAAAAAAAGTGGGCTAATGATACAAGTTTGGGAATTGGGATGCTCAGTTACTAGAAAATGACATAGAAGTGTCATTTTGCATCTAGGTGTTCAATTTTAAAATGGAATAATAGATTGAAGTGAAACTTGTATAATTAGTTAGATTTGTGAAATGAGCTATATATAAACACTTAAATTACTCAAATTGAACATTATATATGAAAATGGTGCGCATTGAAAGTTTGCTTCTGGTGAGCTGTTATGACAACAGATACTGTCATGTGAGCTATGCTGCATGTCAACATGCCATGACATATGACACAGAGTTGGAAGTTAGTTTTTTGTGCCATATGTTGCAGCATATAACACACAAGGTACAACATATATACCTATATGGGTGAAAATAACCTTTTTGCCCCTATTTTCTTATGTATTATGATTTTAAATTCATAAATGCTTCCATTGCTCATAAGAATGCATTATTTTGGATTTAAATATAATTTTGAAGGGTTTTGGAATACCAACCATTTTCAAAAGTTTTATTTTGTATTATTAAACCCTGTTATTATTAAAGTAAGCTTAAGAGCTTAATAACACTTAATTACCATTATATGTTAATTGTGGTGATTATTTAGTAATGCCAAAGTAAACATTACAGTGTGGGTACAATGCTTGGGAAGTGGGGAGTCCTCATCATTAGTTTTTAT